ACTGAGCAAGTTAGAGCATCTCTCCGGCCTCAGTCTCCTCATCTGTGAAATGGGATGACAGTGGTACCTGCTTTGTGCTGGGAGGATTCAGTGAGGTTGTGTGTAGAATGTGCTTAGGACAGCAGCTGGGCTGTGCCAGTGACGGTTAGCTCTATGGTTCCGCCTGATGTTTCTCCGTGAAGCTTTACAATGGACGCAGAAATGCTGCAGGCCAGGCCCAGGCTGGCTCCATGGCCACCTGTGCTGGGGAGGGGCACCGTCTCGGCTGTAAGGAGGGACACAGGCACTGGCTTGGGAACGTGACTTATGTTCAAGTCTTGAGCATCTACTTAGTGTCATTGGGGAAAGTCTCATCAGCTTTCTTTTTTCTTTTCTTTTTTTAAAATATATTTTATTGATTTTTTACAGCGAGGAAGGGAGAGGGATAGAGAGTTAGGAACATTGATGAGAGAGGAACATCGATCAGCTGCCTCCTGCACACCCCCCACTGGGGATATGCCCGCAACCAAGGTACATGCCCTTGACTGGAATCGAACCTGGGACCCTTTGGTCCGCAGGCCAACGCTCTATCCACTGAGCCAAACCGGTCAGGGCTCATCGGCTTTCTGAGCCTCAGTTTCCCCATCTGTGGAAACAAAGCCCTTACAATGACCTTCCAGCGTGGTTGAGACTTAGTGAGACCCTAGTTCCCAATGCTTATTTGTTTATTCCATTTCCTACTTATTTGCCTCTCAGTCAAGAAATGTATCGGAGCCGTGGCCAGTGTTGGTAAGTGGTTAGAGCATCAGCCTGCACACCAAAGGGTCTTGAGTTCAACTCCTGGTCAAGGGCACATACCTGGGTTTCAGGTTTGTTCCCCGCCCCCAGTAGGGTGCATGCGGAAGGCAACCAATCATTGTGTCTCTCTCACATCAATGTTTCTCTCTCTCTCTTCCCTTCTCCCCCCTTCCTTCCATTTTCTCTAAAAATCAATGGAAAAAATATCCTCGGGTGAGAATTTTAAAAAACTTACTTGAAACACTTATCAAAACACATGAAGCTAAGATAAAAAGCCATCAGGCCAGGAAGAATGAGAGTTTAAAAAATACGGCCCCGACCGGTGTGGCTTGGTTGGTTGAGCATCGTCCTGTGCACCACGAGGTTCTGGTTCGATCCCTGGTCAGGGCACATGCCCAGGCTGCGGGCTCAGTCCCTGGTTGGGGCATGTACAGGAGGCAACCAACAGAGGTTTCTCTCTCACACCGATGCTTCTCTCTCTCCCACTCCCTCTCCCTTCCTCTCTCAAATCAATAAAAACATATTTTTAAAAAGTACAGGCAGCTGTGAGTGAAGGTGTCCCAGAAAATGCAGTTTATGAGGCACTGACTTCCTCTGAGCCGACCACTGTGCACGTCTGAGCTTCCTGGCAGCCCAAGTGGCCTCCCTCCGAAGGCCCCAGGGAGCCAGCGGGGGGAGATCCCAGGCATTGGCGTCTGTCCTCGAAGGCACCGCTGGCCAGGGGTCACCAGGTCCTAAAGGCCAGCCTGGCCAGGGGAGTCGGGTCACTGTGACCTCGGGGGTCCAGGTGCCCCCTTTGGGAAAAGCAGGGTGGTCACTTGCCTCCCCGAGTGTCTTCCCTGCCAAGGCCTCTGTTCGCTGTTGCCCGGGGATTTAGTCCTGGCCCCGCCCTGCGCTGCCCTCCACAGCTCCAGCCCAGTTCACTGCAGCCAGGGCAGGGATTGGGGTGTGCCCTACAGAGGCAGGTCCCACGTAGGGGGCCAGTCTGTCAGAGCCATCGGGGCTCCCTTGCCGGGTCCTGAGCCCCTGAGGTGGGCCACTCTGGAGGCTTCTGCTGTGCTGACCTCAGTTTGCAGTTGCCTTTGACCCGGGCCCTGCCATGGCAACAGCCCCCCGCCTGCCTTTATTGGGCCTCGCCCACTGCCCCTGCACTCATTCTGCTGGCTGGCCTGCCTGCTCGCACTCCCCCAGAGCAGGGCTGGAGTCCATTGTGGAGCCCGGAGACCCACTTCAAAATGCTGCCAAGGAGCGGCCCCTCCCGCCTTCCCGAAGGCCAGTAGCGACCAGCCCTCCTCTGCCCTGGGACAGCTGACGCTCAGCGGCGGGGAGGCCCTGCCCCCTGTGGTCCTGCTGCCTGCAGTCCGCCGTGCTGGCCGCTGTGGACAGGCTCCGGGAAGGGCGGCGTTTAAACGGAAACGATGGGGCCTCTGGGACCTGACGGCACAGGTACTGCTCGGCCCGGGGTTGGCGACTCGACTGTTCCTGACGGCCTGCTAGGAGCCGCCAAGGGCAGCACAGGACTCAGGGCCACCCAGGCTCACGCCCAGCTTTGTAGCTTTGAGCAGGTCCCCGAAGCCCCTCGCTTCCCTCCTTTATAAAATGAAAGGATTGGAGGAGATGGTCCTTAAAATTTGTTCGAGATCAAACATTCATGATCCTGTGCCTTGTGACCATGTAGCTCAGAGCCTTGGAGCCTTCCAGCCTGAAAGGACGAATGTTTGCCCTGGCTGGTGTGGCTCAGTGGGTTGAGCGTTGCCCGTGCATGGAAAGGTCACCAGTCCCATTCCCGGTCGGGACACATGCCCGGGGTTCAGGTTCGATCCCCGGTCGTGATGCGTACAGAAGGCAACTGATGTTTCTCTCTCACATCACTGTTTCTCTTTCCCTCTCCCTTCCTCTCTCTCTAAAATCAAAAAAAAAAAATTTGAAAACGGAAGTAACGGAAGTTTGGTGCACTCTTCCTCTCGGGAGCGCACGTGCCCTTGCCGTCCCCCACTCCTTCCCCCAGAGTTACCTCTGCCTTTCCCTCTCCCAAGCTCCCAGGGCCCTTCCTTTGCTTCTGTCACTTGTTTCCTGAGCCCACACAGCCCAGCTGGCTCCCTTCTATTACCCCTTGAACTTGCTAAATAAACTTGCTCTTATCATTTTGGGGGGCGGGGAACGAACGTTTCCTGAGCACCCAAGCATACCCAGAGCTCTATCCGTTTCACAGGTGTGGAAACTGAGGCTCAGAATGCTAAGAGCCTCGCATAAGATCACAGTAGTCTAAAGCTAAGTGCATATTTTTCCACTGTTCCCTGCTGTCCTCCAAGCTAGGAAGTGAAAGGGAGGGTATGACAGGAGGACACTGAAATGACTCAGAACCAGAGAAGAAGTAGCCACAGGAAGGAACTTTAAAAAAAAAAAATGTTTATCCTCACCCAAGGACATGTCCATTGATTCTAGAGAGAGAGGGAGAGGGAGAGAGAGAGAGAGAGGAACATTTATGTGAGGTAGAAACGGATTGGTTGCCTCCTGCACGTACCCCTACCTGGGGTCAAACCGACAGCCTAGACATGTGCCCCGGCTGAGAACCGAACCTGCAGCCTTCCAGTGTATGAGGTGACACGCCACCCAACCGCAGCACGGCAGAGAGAGCGTTCTAGGTGTAAGGACTGTGCCCTATTACCGGGACCTATGGAAGGAGAAACGAAGACACCAGATGCCAAAGGCCAGGTTTCTTTCCCAGCCCCTCCTGTGACTTGGTGGGTCACCCCAAGCAGGTCGCTGGTCCCACTCAGTGAAATGGGTATAACCTACCGCCCTGGGCTCAAGGACAGAAGGAGCCAGACTGGCCCAGCCGGTGTGCAGGAGGCAGCCAATCACTGAGGTCTCTCTCATCGATGTTTCTCTCTATCCCTCTCCCTTCCTCTTTCTCTAAAAATCAAATGTTTTCTTTAAAAACATTTTAAAAAGAAATGAGCCAGATTGTTATCGTCAGTGCTCGCTGCTGCACAGGCTCATTCAGGAGATGTACCACAAATCGAGTGTGGAGTTTAGTTCATAGCAACGTGCCGTTTCCGTCTCCTCGTTGTGACAAGTGTGTGTGGTGATGTAAGATGCCAGCCCTGGGGAGACAGAAGGAGTGTAAGGGGACTCTCTGTACTATCTTCGCAACTTTTCTGATAAACTACAAATAATCTAAAATAGAAAGGCTACTTACATTGTAAAAAATATTTTTCTGAGGCCCTCCACAGCCATAACGAATTGATAAATTAGACTGTGTGAATAGAGAATGGTTATATTCATGAATCACTCATGAATAGAGTGATTCATTCAAAAGAACCATGGAATATTATGTAGGATTTAAAAGGAAATGGTCACTTTATTTCTACTGATCTGAAAATCTCTTTATTATTGATTGAGGGGAAAAAATTTGATTAGACTTAGTGTCCAATATTTAAGAAAACTATTAAACCAAGAACAGAAAAATTGCATCTTAAAGCCAGCGATACACCTCTAATAGCTGAGATGATTTATGCCTGGAGATCAGTCTAGTGGGAGGCACGGGGTAATGAGGGGAACTTTTACTTGATTTTATTCTTTAAATATGTTAGAACTAAATGTCATCCCTTGAGACCTGTGAGTTTTTTCAATGAAAAGGCATTCAAAAGACTTGTCACTATTCCACAAGAAAAGGTAGGACAGGTGGAAAGAACGAACGAACGAACGAACGAACAACATCGCCCTGGGCGGCGCAAAGCAGGGCCCCCAAGTCTGCAGCCTGCTCCCCTCTCCTTTGGGGCTCGTAAGCCCCCTGGGGAGACTGCACTGCAGGGTTGAGCTTTTCCCAGGATGCATTTTGTTCCTGGAGCAATGCAGCTGGTGCAGTTGGGGTGGGGTGGGCCGGGTGGCAGGTGCGGCTGCAGAGGCAGGATGTGGGTGACCTGGTGGTCTCTGGGGGAAGCGCTGTGGGAGCAGAGGGCGGTCCTGAACCAGGAGGGCAGTTTCTGGGGTACTGCGGACGCCAGGAGTACTGGGTACAGCAAGGTGGACCAGCAGGGTTGATGCCTGGGGGGTCAGGAGGTGATTGCATGTAGGGTCCCCAGCAACTGGCCAGGACATTCACAAACACGGTGGCAGCAAAGGCCTGGTCATGTCCGGCTCCTAGAAGGGCCTCCGGTTGCCCTGCCCCGGGAATGAATGCAGACCCCTGACCTGTCTGCTCTCCCTCTTCCCTGCAGGATGAAGATGAGACGCTACAAGCTCTTTCTCATGTTCTGTATGGCCGGCCTGTGCCTCATCTCCTTCCTGCACTTCTTTAAGACCCTGTCCTACGTCACCTTCCCCAGAGAACTGGCCTCCCTCAGCCCTAACCTCCTGTCCAGCTTCTTCTGGAACAATGCCCCCGTCACGCCCCAGGCCAGCCCAGAGCCGGGGAGCCCCGACCTGCTGCGTACCCCACTCTATTCCCACTCACCCCTGCTCCAGCCGCTGCCCCCCAGCAAGGCCGCCGAGGAACTCCACCGCATGGACTTCGTGCTCCCCGAGGACACCACCGAGTATTTCGTCCGCACCAAAGCCGGGGGTGTCTGCTTCAAACCGGGCACCAAGGTGCTGGAGAAGCCCCCGTCGGGGCGGCCAGAGGAGAAGACGGAGGGGGGCGATGGCTCATCTGCCCGCGGCCCAGCCCGGCACCTGCTGAGTGCCCGGGAGCGCACGGGGGGCCGGGGCACGCGGCGCAAGTGGGTGGAGTGCGTGTGCCTGCCAGGCTGGCACGGGCCCAGCTGCGGGGTGCCCACCGTGGTGCAGTACTCCAACCTGCCCACCAAGGAGCGCCTGGTGCCCAGGGAGGTGCCGCGGCGCGTCATCAACGCCATCAACGTCAACCACGAGTTCGACCTGCTGGACGTGCGCTTCCACGAGCTGGGCGACGTGGTGGACGCCTTCGTGGTGTGCGAGTCCAACTTCACGGCCTACGGGGAGCCCCGGCCGCTCAAGTTCCGGGAGATGCTGACCAACGGCACGTTCGAGTACATCCGGCACAAGGTGCTCTACGTCTTCCTGGACCACTTCCCGCCGGGCGGGCGGCAGGACGGCTGGATCGCCGACGACTACCTGCGCACCTTCCTCACCCAGGACGGCCTGGCGCGGCTGCGCAACCTGCGGCCCGACGACGTGTTCATCATCGACGACGCGGACGAGATCCCCGCGCGCGACGGCGTGCTCTTCCTCAAGCTCTACGACGGCTGGACCGAGCCCTTCGCCTTCCACATGCGCAAGTCCCTCTACGGCTTCTTCTGGAAGCAGCCGGGCACGCTGGAGGTGGTGTCGGGCTGCACCGTGGACATGCTGCGCTCGGTGTACGGGCTGGACGGCATCCGCCTGCGCCGCCGCCAGTACTACACGATGCCCGCCTTCCGGCAGTACGAGAACCGCACGGGCCACATCCTGGTGCAGTGGTCGCTGGGCAGCCCCCTGCACTTCGCCGGCTGGCACTGCTCCTGGTGCTTCACCCCCGAGGGCATCTACTTCAAGCTCGTGTCTGCCCAGAACGGGGACTTCCCGCGCTGGGGCGACTACGAGGACAAGCGGGACCTCAATTACATCCGGAGCCTGATCCGCACCGGGGGCTGGTTCGACGGCACGCAGCAGGAGTACCCGCCGGCCGACCCCAGCGAGCACATGTACGCCCCAAAGTACCTGCTGCAGAACTACAACCAGTTCCGCTACCTCCTGGACAACCCCTACCAGGGGCCCAGGAGCACGGCCGCAGGGGGGCCGCGGAGCAGGGGCTCAGAGGGAAGGCCCCCCGCCAGGGCCAAGTCGGACGCGGTGGAAGGCTAAGGTGGCGCGGTGTTTAGGGCCAGTGGCAGGGCAGGGGTGCGACTGCCCTCCTGTCATCTTCCTGCCTCCTGACCTTGGGGGTCTTGAGAGAGGGGACCGGAAGTGGATGCTGGGAGACTCTTCCCTGTCCAAGCCCTGGTGGCTCAGGGGTCAGGCCTGTGACCTCAAAAACCGTCACTCCTCATGGTGAGAGGGGACCCTGACCCTCCCGCCCTCCAAGCGAGCTGTGCCAGGAGGTGCCGCGGAGGGTGCAGGATGGTAACTGGGTGGCCGGGGAGGGTGGGAAGGAGCTGCAGGAGCTCCTGGTGGCCCGCGGGAGCTGCTGTGTGAAAGGCGTGCCGGGAGGTCCCCAGCTCTGTAAATAGTTGCGTTTGGTCCCAGGCGGAAGCGGGGACGCCAGGGAAGGAGGGTGTGGAAAACAGCATCCAGCTGAGAGGTGGCCCAGAGTCCTCGGAAGTGCTGGGCCAGGATCCGGAAGTGCTGGGCCAGGACCCAGGGACCTCCAGCCGCCTCCCCTCAGGGCCCCAGAAGCTCCTGAGCTGACAGGCGGGGCCTGGCGAAGCCGGGGGAGGCCTCCTTTCAGTTCTGAACCTGGCGTTGATGTCCCTTCTTACTTTTCATCTTTCCGTCTAGTGGACTCCCACTTGGTCCTCGCAAGGCCAGGAGTCCAGTACTCAGGGTGGGAGGGGACATCAGCCAGCCTAGTAGGTCAGACAGGGGTGCCCCACACCCCTTCCTGCCGGAATCCCCAGCCCCAGCTCTCCACTGTCTCAGGTGGAGTTACCCTGTACCCCTTCTTGGTGTTGGCTAGGGGCCAGAAGAGCCCCGAGGCTGCCCTGGGCCCCAGAGGACCATTAAGACCAGTTCTGTGCCATCTCCTGCCCTTAGTGTGCCCCACGGGGGCAGGAGATATATTCATTAAAGTAGATTCTAAGCTGCTGTAATGGAAAGACCCCGAAATACAGTGGTTTAAGCAAGACAGAAGCTTGTGTCTAATTTAACTGTCTGGAGGGAGATGGTCTGGATCGAGTAGGGCAGCTCTGCCTCCTCAGACACACCGTCCAGCTCTGGACAGAGTGGTTGCTCCAGTTCCACCATCACGTGCATCCGAGCCCGGGGGGTGGGGGGAGCAGAGGGAAGCACGGAAACACACACCCTTTCCTGTCAACGGCGTGAGCCAGAGATGGCAAAGCTGCTGCTGACCGCAGCGTGCTGGTCAGGACTTAGTCACATGACCACAGTAGCTGCAAGGGAAGCTGGGCCTCCACGTGCCCAGCCTCAGCCTGGTTCTCTTCTTCCAGGAAGGTGGGGGGCGGGGGGGGGGTGGATACAGGGGACAAGGAGCACAGGGGGAGGGGAAGGAGGGTAGAAATGACTGTCGGAGTCATAAGATCCTCCTCTCACATTGGAGCTCCTGGAACAACCTGCTCCTGCCCCCCCTCACTGCCAGCGCAGGGCTGGGGTGCAGTGAGAGTGCCGTCATGGGGAGGAGGGGAGACCTCCTCTCCAAGGCCCCATTGGATGCTCACCAGGGATGCCAGGAGGCAGAGGCTGCCTGTGGAACGTACATGTTGGTGCGCGTGTGTGTATTTATGGGCATGGGTGCATGCTTGTGTGTACTTGTATGTGTCTGTGTCAGTGTGTCCCTGTACATAGATGCTTGTGTGTGGATGTGGGAGCAGGGTCCAGGCGCTTCCTGGGATCTGGGGCCTGTGGCCATACCTCCTGCAGCTCCCCAAAATGACTGAGGCAGAAAGCCCGTGGGGAGCCTGGAAACCAAGGCTGAAGGGGATGCAGGGTCCGTCTGTCCGTCTGTCTTTCAGTCCAAGAGATGAGAATCCTCCTGACCTGAGGGCTGTGCAGCTGAGCGCCCACTACCTCCAGCTGCTCTTGGCCCCAACCACATCTTTCCCCTCAGTGCCCTCTGGCCTCCAGCAGGGACTTTGGGTGTCTCCTGATGGGCCAGGGGGGAGGGTGTGCCCTTTGCCACAGCTCTGTCTGGGGAAGTGCCCGGTGTGGGTGTGGTCTGGGGGCAGCCTCTGGTGGGCAGGAATGAAGAAGGCTGAGGGGGCTCTATTTCCTCCCTCCTCCGTCGGAGTTACAGCAGCCCCCTCTCTGATCCCGCGTGGGGCTGAGCGGTGGCTCAAGAAGTCAGCAGCCACGGCTCACCCCTGGACAGGCAGTCTCAGGGCTCCTGAGTCATGCCTGAGGGCCAGCCCAGAAACCTCCTCGCCAGCTGCCTCACCCACGGCCCTGGCTCCCTCCTGCTCCTGCGGATGCCCCTTCCCAGGCTGGCCTCCGCTCACCAGCTCAGGGGCAGGGGGAGAAGACACAGCTCAGACCAGCCAAGCCCTGCCTTTCCGTAGGCCCTGCCAAGTGGAGGCCTGGCCATTGGGTGGAGATGGCAGCTGTCAGAGGGGTGGGGGCCGGAGCATGGGGTTGAAGAGTTTTGCATATAATCACATCATACACTGGGAATTTGGGGGGTCGGGAGCCCTGGGCCACTCCCCCAATGTGAAGGGAAACCGAACTGTGAATGGGATACTGGTGCACCACTGGCCCTGTCCAGACAGCCTTCCCTGGAAACGCCTGCCCTGTGACTCCAGGAGGCCCAGCCCACCCCAGGTCGTGTCCGTTCCCAAGGACAGGTGTGGGGAGCTTTGGGGACACAGGTGACAATTGGCCTGGGGAGACAGGACTTGCCCAAGCAGGTAGCAGGGCCCTAGGAAAGGTATAATTTAAGGACACCATTATTTTTTTTGTAAGGGAAAATCAATATGTACATTCTGAAATCATTTTCTCTGTAAATGGTTGGATTTCATTTCACCCTTAAAGGGATGTTGAAGATAATATTAATAATAAAAACACCTACAAAGCCCGCGGAGTGTGCACTTGTGGCTGGTTCAGGGGGTGCGCTGGGGCAGGGAGGGCGCATCTGTGGGGTGAGGGCCTCCCCAGGACCGGGTGCAGTTACCTCCACCAGCACCAGGGGGCAGCCTTCCCTCCCACTGACGGAGATAAACAGAGAAAGGGGAGGCTCTGGACGGAAGGAAGGAGAAGGGGGCCTGGGACTTCTGGGGGGTCGGGATGAAGACTTGAGTGCCTCTACCGAGGGCAGCAGTTCTCCCACAGCTGTGCTTGGGGCATCGAGGCCAATGCGTCCACCTCCAGAGTTTCCTCCCTGTGCCTGTGGGTCCTAAGGATGTTGTGGCCTCTTCCCACTGGACACAGCCCCTTGATGGCCGGACAGGGCTGGTCCTGTCATCCACCCTCAGGCAGGAGAAGACGGCAGCCTCCAGGACCAGTCATCTCTCTCCTGTGGAGCTGACTGGGGACCGGAGCGGTGGTGGAGCCTGGGGAGTGGGGGCTTCCTCTGGGGCCTGTGGGTACTGGCATTGTCCTGGGGAGATGGCCCCTGGGCATTTTCTAAGGAGAGTCTCAGATGGTGGGAATGGGCACTGGGAACTCCGCCCTTGTCCCCTGTGGGCTGGCTGTGCAGCCTCCGTGTTAGGTGGGGAGACCGAGGCCGGAGACGGAAGGAGTGACCACAGTGTTGGTGGCCAGAGCAGGGGCTGGTGCCTCCTGAGCCCTCACAAGGTGCCAAGCCCTTGGCATGGGGCTGGTGATGGGAGGGACATCCTTGAGATTTTAGGAGACAGGGAATTGCCCAATTCAGGCCCAGTTCACCGTGACCACGTCCTGGGGCACAGGCTCCGGAGGGGGGTGCTCGATTTTACAAAGCCCTTAAAGGCCCCCTTGACGGCTAGCACTTAAAGCGATCTGGTTAGGATGCGTAGGAAGCAGTTTTGTTATTGCAAACCGAGTTCATCTCTCTGGAAGCCCCCGTGCCCATGCAGTTAGGCACGTGACCCCGCTCTGTGACAATCAGGCCGTTTGTCCGCCACCCACTGGTCCCACCCACCGTATCTGTGCCACCCCTTTTGCCACTGTTTGTCTTTCAATTCAATCCTACACTCAATTACTGACTGTTGGACAGCAGGCCCTGAGGAAGATGAAGAAATGGGCATGACATTTTCTGCCCTCCAGGAGCTCAAAGCCGACTGGGAGTAGCCGGGGTTTCCCGACCTCAGCGCTGCTGACATTGTGGCCGGGTCATTCTTCATGTAGGGCTGTCCGTTAGAGGGTGGTTAACAGCGTCCCCGGCCCCTACCCACTGGACACCAGTAGCAGCCAGTCCCCCAAGTGTGGCACCAACCATGTCTCCAGACATTACTAAATAATTGTCCCTTGGGGGGCAACGTCGCCCAGGCGGAGAGCCACAGGAGGATGAGTGCCCAGCTGTTGAGCATCTACTGTAGACATGCCAGGCACTTTGTACAAGGACCTCATCTAATCCTGCGGGATAGACGATCGTGGTCATTGGAGGTCAGCTTTCCTCCTGTGGAATTTAATGGTATTGGGGGCGTCCCCCTGCTCTCCAGCCTGGGCGATGGGAGGTGGGGAGGCTAGGATTTAGGGAGATTAAGGTAGAATTGCTCCAAGGCACACAGCTCCCAGGCAGGATTTAGGACCAGGGTCCCCACCGCCCTTCTGACGGCGCTGCACTGCCCCCTAGTGGGAGGGCGAGGCACGTCGCTGCAGCCGCCACGCTTTCCTGTTTTCCTTCCTCTTCCGTCGTCTCACTGGAGGCCACACTGGGTTCGAGGCAGCTTTACAGATGCTGCTGCAACAGGCAAACGTGTAAAGGCTAGAATCATGGGAAAGTATAATTACAAAAAACTCCAGCCTAGGAAGCAACAGAAAACGCAAAGGCAACGCCAGGGGCACGTCAAAGTGTTGAAGGTGCGGAGGAGAGGGGCACGTCCTCTTCTCGCTCTTAAGGTCGAGGGAGCGAAGGTTCCAGAACTTTCACAGGAAGTGGGGGCGCTTTGGGATGAACGCTGACAGCAGGCACCTCCGGGGCACCAGGCTTGTCTACAGCGTGCTCCCCACTTTGATGTCCCCAGCACTCTGCCCGGAGTGCTCCCCGGATCCTGCCACACTGTGCTGACAGGATGTGCACACAGTTCACCGTCCCTGGGCGGCCCAGCCCCGGGCCTCTAACTTGTGTTGTTAGTGGTTTTAGTAGATGTTGACCCCAAAGACCCCGGCACCCCGGCCGACCAGGGCAGCTCCCTCCTCCGACAGGTTCACTCACCCTCCACCTCCCCGAGGACGGAGGCCTGCCCGCTGCGGAGCTGTGTGTGGAGAGGGCTCCTCCCGTTCCAGCCTGTGTGTGGCCCGTGGATTGCCAAGAGCCCCAGTGAAGGGAAGGCTGTTTGGCCAGCAGCCCAGCAGGAGGGCACCCGGGGGTCAAGTTCTAAGACTCCGAGGACGAAGAACAGGTACAGACATCAGAACTCGTCATGTAAACCACACGTAGGGCCCTCCCAGCCCCGCGCATCCTCTGGGAACACATCTCGTCTTAGTTCCTGGGGTCGCCACGCAGTCCGGACCCTGACCTGGCAACGCAGAAGTCACCCGTTGCTCTTCCTTCTCCCTCCTCCAGGCCCTCCAACCGCCTCCTCCACACAGGCCTTTGTGCAAACTGGGCAGGCACCCTTCCTCCGACATTTCACTTCCACCTGTTGGAAGGCTGCCATATGTGCTGGTGCCCTTAGAACAAGACAGCTCACTGCCTTCCGCCGCCAAAGAAATGTCAGAGAATCAGGCGGCTGACTCCGCAAAGTCTATGACATGACAGGTGCCCTTGGGGGGGGGGGGGCAGCCCCGCCTCTGCCTCCCAGGTCTGCTCCATCACTACCCTTCGACTTTAGAATAGTCATGGCTCCCCTTACCTGCAGAGCTGTCACCCCGCAGCCCTGTCGTGCTACCTGTGCCGTCTCCTTGGCCCGGAGTAGACACCTGACTCGGAGGCAGCCAAGCCACCTGCAGGCCTGGTGTGAAGAGGGGCCTGGGCCCACGGGAGGAGGTGGGTTGGAAAGGGGGAAGGAGCAGGTGCAGAGGGGAGCCGCCGGGAGAGACCAGCCTCCCGTAACTGGCCCTGGTGCGTCCTCAGGACAAACCTGAGTGGAGCTCTGCTCTGGGGACTGGAAGTGGCCCCATCAGAGCTGTGACCCGGGGGAGGTCACGCGGACCAGGGGTCAGCCAGTTCCAAGGAGGCACCGTGAGCTGGAGGCCTGGAGATGGGTCCTCAGACACACACTGTGTGATCCGAGCGGCCCTTCGTAGAGGATAAACGTAGCTTTTCATGGCGAAAGGGTTAGTGCATAAATACCTGACAGCTATTTAGAAAAAAGCCCAGTTACAATCCCTCCCTCACGCCTTATACCAAAA